GCATACTTTCTATAAATCCGCAAAACACTTGAGTATTAAAGCTCTTTGTTAAGCTCTTTGTTTTCGTATGATGTAAATGGGAGGCATTGATTCCATTTGTCCTTGAATACATTATCAATGACGAATTTGTCTCGATTTTCTGGGTTAATTATGACTGTACATGTATATTTTTTATGCTATAAGTGATGTAATGAAATAATGTGGCTAATCTCGATGTTATAAAATTATGTCAAGAATGATCATTCAAAAGTTTAAGTTAATGCAAAACGAAGTTAAGGTATTTGATAGACAGGTTTACTAACTGTAACATTTTCATAATAATTTCAAAGTTGTGAAAATGTTTATAGTTCTTCAATTCAATAGTATGAATAAAAAAATAAATATGATGCCACTTTGCTACTAGTTTAAAGTTACATTACAAACTAATTAAGAATTCACAAATGTAAAGTATCATTGTTATTATAGTTAATCTTACTTATTCTTACTAAAATGGTTTTGAAATGAGAAAAAGAAAAAAGACTTTGTTTTTAGGTTTTGGTTATTTTGTGGTTGAAAGACATAAATGTGTGGTAAAAACATATCAAAAACGCTGTTGCAATTGTTTTATTGTTGTCTTTTGAATTCAAATATAAAAATAGCTGTTTCATTATGAAACAGATGAGTTACTATGCAATCCTCCATTAAATTTATGATTATTAATTTAAGACCAATAATGATTATTTTTCTGTCATCAAACATCACCTACATAAGTTTCGGATTAATTGACATATTTCTAATAAATCATGAATTATAAATGATGGAAAATGAGCATGTGCTAGATCATAGGCAGATGCAAGTTAATGCACGTTAGCAAGCAAATGCATCAAATATTGAATTACCATAGATACATTAGATGTATTAAATGCAAACAAAGCTTAAACAACACAAAGTGGATGACAGAATTAACCTGATTTATATTTAGATGAGACAATTTTCAACCATTACCACTTTCTCTAATAAGGAGATGCTAGCGAATAAACCATACCATTTGTATTTGTATAGTATCATATATTTACATTTATTACATGTTGTTACATGTCGTATTGCATGATAAAAAGCGTCATGTTTGAACCTTACACTATTTTTTGATATTAAAATCGTATCCTGTATTATTTGCTCTGTTATATTAATTTGCCAAAACGCAAAGTATATTATGCAAAATTGAACATACTATTATTATATATTTTAAAATGTATATTGATATCACTAAACTAATTCATTTAATGTTTATCTTTAAATGCATTGGTACTAGATGTTAACTCACCAATGATTTATTCACCATAAAAGCAAAAATTGTTCGCGACACTCATTATCTATCTAGTGTGTATTACTAAAATGTACCTTAAGCAACCTCCATTTCAGAAGCATTAATTTGTATATTGAATTTAGTAACACTAAAATGCGGCAGACCTAAACACTTCTACTGTGTCAAAGTATTTCCCAGTGGATAGCATACAGCGAAAAATTATATGTATAAATAAATCAATAATAATCTACTGCGGCACGTGATATTTTGTTACAAATTCGGGATGAAGGTGGGAAATTGTGGATCTGTAAGTGCATTGATCTATCCATAATTGCTTTCTCTCAGACATCTAATATTAGGAGGTAAATAACCATGGTTTTGCTTAGTTATGGTCAACATATATAAAATATCATAATTATTTCCCCAATTAAAAAATGCTTTATTCAATATTACGAGATAATTAAAGTATTCTTTTACAATTCAACAAAACAATTGTTTAATCTTTTGAATTATTCCAAATCCCAATATTCTTATATAAAATAATAAAAAAGATTAATGAATTAATTTATGTTTTTAAAATCACATAGTTTGTAAGAGGTATCTTTAAAATTTATATACTTTTAGTTGCAGAAATCATATTGGATTGTGTGTGTGTTTTGTTGTTGTTATTGGTTGTTTTAATTTAACTTTTTGTATTGTATATGCAAGTTAGACCTATATCTGTCACTTAACATTTTGCCATAAAATTGAAGTCATTGTGCTTCAATATAAGTAATAACTTTGCAAATGAAACTTCGTTGTCTCTTTACACATTGAAACGCTCGCTTTGAAGAAGATATTCCCCATAACATAAATTTTAAAACATTTTACAGTGTAGATATGTAATCACTGTGTAGAAAGAGATAATCTAAATTCCTTCCCCCGACGCTTAACCGCCTCCGTGGTCGAGGGGTTAGAGTCGATGACTTCTAATCCAGTTACCTCTCTGGCGTGGGTTCGATTCCCGGGAGATGCTTTGGTACTTTAGCGCGGAGGAACGTAGTCTAGTACTGGTGTAACTCTCTAGGAACGATGGTTAGGAAACTACCCGCCTTTATGACTGAAATACTGTTGGGAAAAGGCGTAAAATCAAACAAACAAACAGTTTTATGCGTAGGATGCGATAAATCGATTTGATAAGACTTGTAAGCATAGGCTAATTGGGTTGGAATAAAGTTAATTTATTAATAGTTAAAATATTATGGTTCATTATTAGTGACAAGCACTAAGTAAACAAATAGTAAGTGTATGTATTCAAAACAGACATTTTACATTTTTTTATAAACACCACAACAAAAGTTTTAAAGAGCATAATTATGTTTGTATGTTTTACTGCTGTGTTTGAATATTTGACAGCCATTTATGTTTCTGCTTTAAAAAGCATCGCTTGGCGCGTTTCTCCTCATATTGAATCACATAATTTTCTCGAGTTCAGTTAAATATCTGATATTCGTGCATCGTCCAAGATAAAAGAGTGACCTGATTTTGCTTGTGTTCTAAATCATTTCGAAATTATTCATCAATTCTATAATAAGATGTTTGAATATATGTGATATTAAAAGGTTAGCCTAATTTATAACTTGATTAACAAAGATTTAATTTATTTTCAATGGTAAATCATAATTGGATGAAAGAGTTAAACAAATAAAACATCGATCGAACTCTTATAAGAAATAAAGTATTAGTCTTAAAATATAAATGTGAAACAATGTCATAGCTGCATTTAAATCGGAATGTATCTGATGTAGACGGATAGTTGTATTGCTTTCTTGCGAATCGTGTTATTATATATTCAGTTTGATATATTGTTTAATATTACATTTCTGTTTGTTTGATTTATAATCGATTTGATGTTCATCATTGAAAATATTTGTCATTGATTGATTTGCATTGGTGTCTTTATTAACAATCTGTGTCTATATATCTTACATTAAAGACAAGCTGTTGACTTCGCTGTTTCAAATCTATATAAAGATATTAATTGATATTATTTCTGGGGGATAGCTGACCGTGAGTACTTTTATGTATTCTTCGATTCTTTTTTCATAACTGTATTACATTTAAGGTAAAATTAGTTTAATCTGTTTTGATGTTATCCTGAAGATTTTTTATTTGCTGATTTGAAATGAAATGTAAAATGTATGAGGTACGAAAAACTTTAATTAAAAAAGCATGACTGTAAAGAACTTAATAATTGTAATATAACCGGTTTAAATTGTTAATATGTTTAACAAAATAAAAAAAATAGTTTGTTTTACAATTTCATTTAAATATAAAATGTTTTGAAATAAATATTGGTAAATTTGAACTATGATACAAGTTTTGTCATTTAATATAATTACTATGTTCTGATAATCCATTAATCAACTGCAAGTTTTTTGCTAAGTTTTCTTCCTTAAATTTAATTAAAAAAAACAGCTTGAGGTATTATATTGTCTTATAAACTTTAGTAAGAAGTATTCCTGCTGACAACCGTTTTGTTGTTTGCCATTGGTTGTATTGCACAATACAGCTAATGAAAAGGTGTTCCAGCTCTAGAAAGCATGTTACATTTTGGCAGTTCTGACAAGTATCATTTGCTTTTTTAACCGATTGTCATAAAAGTACAATTTAAATATAAAATCTTTTGAAATAAATATTGGTAAATTTGAACGAAAACCGTTATGTATTACAATAAAAAATATGATACAAGTTTTGTCATTTAATATAATTGTGTTCTGATAATCCATTAATCAACTGCAAGTTTTTTTGCTACGTTCTCTTCCTTAAATTTAATTAAAAAAAAACAGCTTGAGGTATTATATAGTCTTATAAACTTTAGTAAGAAGTATTCCTGCTGACAACCGTTTTGTTGTTTGCCATTGGTTGTAATGCACAATACAGCTAATGAAAATGTGTTCCAGCTGTAGAAAGCATGTTACATTTTTGCAGTTCTGACAAGTATCATTTGCATTTTTAACCGATTGTCATAATAGTATAATTAGAGAAAACCGCTTTAGTCAAGTGTGTAATCAAATTTTACTTACAATGAATATCATTTAATTCTTTGCTGAAGTAAATATACAAACTTTACAATTAGACATCATTGTAATGCATCTTGGCCTTGTAAGAATATTCATTAAAGTTGAAAACTAAGGAAAATTATACATGTATACCATTGCTGAATTGATTTAAAGTGTTTTTACGTTTCAAAACAATACTCTGAAATATATTAATATTTCTTGAATGTTTGAAATGTTTTATAATATTTTTATTTTTATGTGATGTGGGTTTACTTTTTTATGTAGTGTTTTATCTAGTATCTTTACCATGTCTTTATAGTATATGTTACAATGTCATGCCAATATGGCCAAAGGCATTCCTCATGCCGATTGCCAATAAAGTTTGGAATATGTTTTATATAAATTAAATAGCGACTATATGGCCCCTGTGCTTTATCATTCGTATCAAATTAATTTCATGCCATAGTTATCCTGACGTGTTAAGGTTCACGTGTGACTCGTGAAAATAATTCCTTCAATACCCGTCCAAGAAGTCCTCAATATTAATAGAAAGCTAGTAATAACATATTATTGATAGAAACCACTTTCGGTTTTATCAGATCGGTATTGGATATACAAATATTAGCGTTTCCATGCTGCGACCGCTTATTTTCAATCGTTCTGTTGATGCGATGTGCACGAAGAGGAGAGGATGCAGTGCAGATTTATGAATTTGTTTCGTGGATGTTGGATTCTAAAAATGCTAAATGCATCAAAAAATATATATTCGTAAACGTGCATAATTGAATTTTATTTCATTTTATATTCACTGTATTAAATCAACTTACTTTCTTACGGATAATTTAATTCATTTTAAAAAGATCAATATTTTATATAGTAGCAATAAATATTGCAAAAGAAAAGAGAGAGAGAAAACCTCAAAATAGCTGCTCATTGTAGATGGAACAATCTTTCATAAACAAACAGGAATTATTTTTAATTGGATTTATTACAATAAGTAAGTAAAACTTTATTAATGTCAAAACATTAACTTATTTGTTTAAAGAGCATTGTTTTGTATATAAAATGTTTAAAATGCTTATAAACGCATTTTTTAAAAGTTAATTAATTTTTTTATTTTTTGAAACAAACACAATTAAAAATAATATGCTAAGTTAACGTAAAGTAAAATTATAACATTATTTTGACAGGCAAGTGAGTCATCTCTAAAGAACCAATTTTTATATATTTTCATGAAATAAAAAAAGAAACAAAGACTTTTTATAGACAAATTTGTTTTTTCCCATTTACCTGGAGTGTTATGGTTTATAATTAAACACTATACTATAATATGCACAACAGCAAAAACTAAGATTAGATATACAATTAAAGTAACAGTTGATGAGTTGATGAATTAATTTGATCACACGAAGTATTTAACGTCTTAGAATTGCTTACAAGTACGAAAACAATTTGCATTTCTGTAGAGAAGACCCGTATAATTATATTAAGTAAGGAAATTATATACCAGAAAGACGCAATTGGCAGGTAAAATTACATAAATGTATTAAGGACAATTTATGCGAGATACAGTGTCAAATATTTTTCAAATTAAGGCCTTCTCATTGGATGAAAAGGTGAGGTTTGAAGTCAACTTCATACAGGTTTACTCTTAAAAATTCATAACAATTTCTTGTACACATTTGGAAGGCAATTTATATTCGTACAAAGAACATTATACTGAACAGCTTTTGTATTATACGTCGACTATAGTACAGGAAAAGTAATCCATAAAACAGTTGTCTGGCATTTTATTTTTCATATAATGTGTACATATTTAAGTTGTTTTACAATCAAAATTCATTCATTTGCTCTGTATTTATAGAAGATTGTAAAGTGCTTCTTTTTCCATATTCAAATGTGAACTCATATGTAAATATTATTGCAATAATTATACAATATCAAAAGAACGATAACACACGTATTTTATTACGCTCCGATGAATAAAGTCTGAAAAAAGTTTTCTTTTTTTTCTTTTTATATCCTTTCAAAAAAGCGCAACTCTTTTAAATATTTCAATATAGAGATTATCCTTAAAACTATTTCACTTACGTCCATGAGTAACATATAAAAGACTGAACATAAAAATGTTAAATTATCAGCACCATTTCTGGTAGTGCAGTGAACAGTCCAGATAATTGCTCAGTGTCGTGTTGATCAAGCGTAATGTAAAACATGCCCTCTTGACTATTTAGATTTTCCTTTTATTTTTACATTATTGGGAATACTTCATCAAGACTTTTTGTTGCTGTATGTAAAGGATTTGCAAAGTAAATAATTTTACTAACATGATTCATTGACACATACAATTAAGTATTAATCAGCGAATTATTTTAAATTTATAAACAAAGTTAAAATGTTGAAAACTGCTTCAGTCGGTTCTCAAGGCTGTATTTTGTCGTTTTCGGATTTATTTTGGGGAATATTGCTTTTTTCTATATTACGGAAACAATTTATTTTGACAAACCTTATCAAACAAATTTCTCTTATGATACATTTTGTAGTTCTACCAAATCTACACACGTGTCATTTCTATGATTTAATTAACGCAAACTGCAAAATGTCATGTAGCCATGTCGCTTATCTAAATAATATATTGATGTATATGTGATGAGTAAACAACCTGCTTCAATAATATCAATACTACAACAAAGTTGAATATCTCGTGATATTAAAAATGAAAGCTTTAAAGTAAACATGATCAAAGCTGAAGATAAGATCTGATTGTATTGGACATGGATTTGTCCAAACAATTGTCTTCGTATGCAAATATCCGCATATGCGAACAACTTCAATGTGCTAGTAAAAGATGATATTTTATATAACATTTCATAGACATTTGTAGTTATATGTCACGTACTCTACAATATACAGTATCTTAAAGAAAACATACAGAGCTACTTTATTCTTATTCATTTTTTTAAATGACTAATCTTTATTTCATTTTAATACAAATCTGTTAAAGATTATGTGATCTTTTAAACATTTTAATTGGATGCCTTTATATATTCATTGAACGGCTTAAAACAACGAAACTTTCAAACATATGGTTCCTTTAGGAAATAAAATCTCTGAGCCAGGATCGATCACATATTTGTATGCTGACCATTGCAACGAATAAAGACAAGTCGTTTCTAGTTTTAAACTATACTTATATTTCATTTATTAAAAACGTATGTACAATTTAATGATATCCAGTGCATTGTGGCCAATACAGACCGAAATATCTAGCTAGAGGGTAACTGTTTACGGTGGTAACAAGGCTTTGCCGAGTTTCCACTAAACAGTTACCCGAGAGCTAGATATTCCCGCCTGCGCCGACAGCCGGTGTTTGATTCTTTTTCTTGCATATAACATATCAATTTTTTTTCAGAAAAGAAATTACGAAAACGGATATTCTCATTACGCACTTTGTTATTATATTGGCATATGAACTTACCACTTCATTCATAACGGTTCAGTGACGTCATCCTAAGAACGCTATTCATTCATAAAAGGCGCGCGGCAATGACGTCATCTAAAGCACGCGACTTGTCAACCATGGAAGAGTGAGATAAGTTTTCTAGCACCGGTGTAACTGGTAGATAATCCCGTCTGATATGCAAGAAAGTGTCTGTTTATCTCCAGTCTAATATACGCATTATACGCTAATGTCCACTTGGTGACTTGTAGGACAACCGATAGAACACACCGTCAAATATCATAAATTCATTTGTTTGATAATTCTAGATCTTCTGTAAGTTATGATATTTGGATACTAATTATTGGACATCTGTTACAGACATTATAAATGTTTGTGTACTTAATGTGACGTATGTATACATTTCTTCATCGTAATGTGCAACTTGTAATAATAGAAGAAGACAATATCCGATCGGTTATAATGTGTGTATGTACTCAAACAATAAATTTTGACAATCGTTTCTTTTTTTATTTGTTTGCATGTTTATATTTATTTAAGGAATCAGAACATACTTCCAATTACATTGCTGTAATAATCGTTCTAGCATTCCTGTGGAATGACTTAATTACCAAGGCAATAATGGTAGTGATACATGCTAACTATCACATGTAATTTAAGTAAAACTAATGTATATATGTATTAAGAATAAGATAAATAAATAATAATTGTATGGCCACGATATAACATTATAAGTATACCTGTATTTGGTCTGAACTAGAGCACATGGAAGTTGTTACACCTTCTTCTTTCGTCTCTCATGAACAAACTGAAATTGTGATTTCTTGAAAATATTTTTTATTGAAACATTTTGAACAACCTGTATAGTCCTGAAGTGAATCAACAAACTTCAAATGTCCTTAATATGTATCCATTTATTGCTGTATCTGATTATTGCATTTCTTTAAATGGTTATGTCACTGTTCGAAAACTTTCTTAAATACCATTGCACAATAAAATTGGAGCGTTTGATCTGACCTATTTTATTTTAAAAGTTTGATTGACTTGTAATATTTCATCAAAAAGAAAATCAAATCATGCTAGTAATTTAATTTATTTGATTGTTAAAATAAAATTAATTGTCCAAAGTAAACATCATGTCTAAAATTAAAACCATCATGCGTGTAAGTGCATTACATCATGGTGAAAATATAAGACATGTTGTATGACATTTTTAATTTCAATAGCTGTAAAGAAACATAGAAACATAAATAATCATTTTTGTTCTTGAGCCAACATCAATATGTCAGTTCATTCATATGGTTTAAACAACCAAATAGGCACAATTCATATTATCAATTAACGATGGCCCTAATAAAATTTGTCTTATCTGGTATGCATGATAAGTGGTCCACTGTTAGCATAATCATTACACATAATTCATAAATTATGTGACGCTAACAATTTCGTTTAATTTATTAAAGTCTATAAGCAACCCTTAGTCAAGTACCATTATGCATGTCAAGTGTTCCACTATATTAACGTAATGATTAAACAGAATTTATAAATGACGTAAAGCTAACAATATTGTTTTATTTCATTTAAGTCCATAAGGCTATTTACTGCCAAGAGAAAAACTCAATTAAGCATCATCTGCAATATTATTTATTTCTTTCCTGTGCTGATGTGCGATAGCCTTACCTAAATAGCTCTATAGTTAGCACAAAGTGACAAATGAGCTTTGAAACACCCTTGCTTTTAAACAGCGCTGAATCTTCTTAGAAAATTCTTTATCATAAGTTACGTGCATTTGTAGTCTTATGCTTGTTTCGGGGAATGTAATTTTATCTCGATAAGAAGTGTTTTCTTTCTTATTTTAACGCTAGAACACTCTAAAATAATTAATAGGCACTTGTATTTGTTTAAATTCATCATACTTAGAATGACTATTTGTTTTTACATTTCCCATTTTAACGGATTATATGTTATTCTGTAACATACGTCATTCTATATAAATATAACAATAATGTTACACATGGGCGATACACAACTTTAAGTTTAAACTTATCGTTGTTCGGGAGGGTGTTGTAGTTGCCAGCGTTTGTAACAGTTTATCCTTCTCTTTACGTGTGGATTAATTATGTGGAATATACTCATATGACTCCTATATTGCTTGATCTTGCCATTTGTGCAAAGCAATTAAAGTTAACGATCAACAGACGTCATATAGTGATCGTATACACATCGTAGGTTTTTTGTAGTTGGATCTAGAAGTGTTTATATGTTATCTTTTAACGTTGAGGGTAAATGCATAACATTTATGCATATTTTTACTAATAATGTATGTTAATACATATTGATGTAAATAGAACAAAGAAATATGTACATTTATAAAAATAATTATTCAAAGTGAGTCAATAAAATTACTTCTTTTATAATTATAATCATAATTGTACACGTGGGAGAACACATTTGGATTTGAAATAAAAGTGGCATTATGCTCATTTGTCACTGTCAAGTTGGTTTGAATTAGTAAAATATATCAAAAGATTGGCTTA